TCAACGGTGCCACTTTGGACAGATCATCTAAATTCTGGGCCTATTTCCTTATCAGTCATGGAAGGGTTGATACAGGCTAGGTTGGTCCCCAAGTTATTTTCAGCTCTACCGTTCCTGATGTCTTAGGCCAAGGACTAAACCTTAACACAGCTCCGTAATTTCCTTCTTCCTTGGGCCCCCATAGAACCAGGCATGGGTCCTCATGGAACTTGGGAAATGAACAGATTTGAAAAGCAAACAAAGTCAGGGGTCATTATCTGCCACCCCCTACTCCCCAACACCCAACACACACACAGTGCATTACAAAAAGTTAACATGCAGTCACTGAGGAACCCTTCAAACCATTCAGGGTCAGTGACTACACCACAGCATGAAGCTCAGACACCAATCCTGTTCAGTAGAGTCCTCCCCGATCTTCTGGCCCAGCGTTCCCCAGCCCCATTTATACCCCACCTACCAGGATGGGGATCAGAGTGAAATGTGTCACGGAAAATTAAACACAGAACGATACTTTATTTTAGAACATGAACTTTAGATTAGAATCACATTTCATTAGTAGAAACCTGTTGTCCCAGAAATCTATTGTTCTTTAACTACCCTAGGTCTTCTCTACAGGTTAATGCTCCCCACTTAAAGGATTTGGGGGCAAACTTTAGTACCACCTCCCTTATTCTGACACTGCTACCTATCGGGCACTTTTTCCTCATCCAGCTGCGGGGCAACAGGAAAGACACTTAAGAGACAGTAGTAGCCTGATCCAGCAGGGTCCCTGGTGTGACTGTCTACATAAGGGTTGACTTTCCCTACCAGGTTCCTGACTGCACCAATTACCAGGAGCTATACAGATTTTCTTACTTTCTCCTTTTATTTTAAAAGTTACTTTTGAGAGAAGTATTGTACTTGGGCAGGAATAATACTGATGTTTGCAGAAGGTTAAATACAAATGTTATAATCATGATATTTATGACACTATGTTAAGAGATCCCATCTTTTAAAAATGTGTCTTTCAAAACAATCCAAGTGAAAAATGGGCAAAGGACTTGAATAAACATTTCTTCAAAGAATATGTAAAAATGGCCAATAAGCACATAAAGACACTCAAAATCACTAATCCTTGAGGAAATGCAAATTAAAACCACAAAGAGATATCAACTCATACTTATTAGGATGGCTACTATCAAAAACAAACAAACAGCCCCGGCTGGGTTGGCTCAGCAGTTGGAGCATCAGCCCTCAGACCAATGAGTCTCGGGTTCGATTCTGATCAAGGGCACGTACCTCAGTTGTGGTTTGTCCCCAGCCCTGGTCAGGGTTGTGCAGGAGGCAGCCAGTCGATGTGTCTCTCTCACATATCTCCCCCCCCACACACCTTTTCTTTCTCCCTTCCTCCTCTCTCCCTTCCTCCCTCCCTCCCACTCTATCTGAAGATAAACAGAAAAATATCCTCGGGTGAGGATTTAAAAAGAAAAAAAACCTCCAGAAAATAACAAGTGTTGTGGAGAAAAGGGAACCCTTGGGCACTGCTAGTGGGAATGCAAAATCATGCGGGCAGCTTCTGTGGAAAACAGTATGGTAGTTCCTCAAAAAAAAAAAAAAAAAAAATTAAACCTAGAGTTAACATGTGATCCAACAACTCTATTTGTGGGTACCCAAAAAGAAGTTAAAGCAGGGACTCAAACAGATACATGCACACCCACGTTCACAGAAGCATTGTTCACAATAACTAAAACATGGAAGCAACCCAGTGTCCATTGAATGAAGAAAGAAAATGTGGCATACACATACAATGGAACATCACCCAGCTTAACAGGAAGGGCATTCCGACACAGGATACCACGTGGATGAACCCTGAAGACAAGGGCCAAGTGACCTGAGCCAGTCACAAAAAGACCAATACTGTGTGGTTCCACCTATATAAGGTATCTAGAACAGCCAAAATCATAGAGACAAAAGCAGAGTGGTGGCTGTCGGGGGGGTGATGGGGAATTTCTGTTTAATAGGAACAGAGTTTCAGTTTGAGAAGATGAAATAGATCTGGAGATTGATGGTGGTGAGGGTTGCACAACAATATCAATATGTGTAATGCCATAGAATTATGCACTTAAAAACAGTTAAAATGGGGTGGGACCGGGGAGGAGGGGGTCAATGGGGGAAAAAGCGGGGACATCTGTAATACTTTCAACAATAAAAAAAATAATAAATAAAAAAAATAGTTAAAATGGGAAGTTTTATAATATATATATTTTACTACATAAAAAAAGTGACTAGAAACTTCGTGGTAGTGGCAAAAATCAAGCATGTGCTAACTTTTCTGTACACCACTCAGGAAGAAAAAAATGACATCTGAGTATCAACCATGTCCCAGGGACTCATATATCCACAACAAAAGTAAAAACAAAATAAAAATCGAGGAAACCTAGCCAAACAAAGCAAACAAACAAAAAACCCCACCACCTTGATTAGTAGTATTAAGCCCTCTTTCCAATGAAAAAACTAAGGTTCGTAAGTTAACATCCCAGGTCAAGTGGTAAAACCCAGCAGTAGGGGTCAAAGGCAGATCTGCCAACTCTCAAAGCCTGCTTTCCATTCAGTCCATGACGTTATTTTCTTCTACCCATGGTGGTCTCTTCGAACCGGCATTCTGCTTTGGCTATAGAACTTTCATACTTAAAAGTTGGGCTTGCCTTCAGAAGTAGGCTAAAAGTCAGTCAACCAAACACACTCACTACGTGCCTACCCTATGAGGCCCAGGGCTAGCTATGAAATAATAAGAGTCATGTTTCCTCTCAGCCATTGGCCATATGGCAGGACAAAAAAAAAAACACACACACACACACAAAAAACAAAAACACAGTCAATTAAAATTTCAGTGTTGGTCGACTCCTTCAAAAGCCACTGGTTACCCTGGGCAAAAGCATTATGTCTTTCTATATTCCATATGGACAGAATAAGTGGAAATAGCCTCATTTTACAGCGTAGGAGCATTTTCATCTTTTTTCCTAAACCTTCTACCATTATAGTTACTGATCTGCTGTTACTCTCTAATGTTGTGCCTGAAGCTGGAATTTAACAATTAAGGACATTTTTTCATGATGTGCAGGAAATAGGCACCTCTTAGTTTTCTGAACGAGAGCAGGGGGCTCTCTGGACCCTCCAGTGCCTATGGGCCAAGGTTTTATTTTCTTACTCTTGTGTGAAACACGCTGGGAAGAGGAACGCAGATTGTCTACACCCCTTACCCCGCCCCAAACAAGCAGAGCGTTGGCATTATCTAGTGAATACAGCCTGTAGATCAGTAAGTACCAGAGGGTGAGGCCACAGTCATTCATACAGCCCAGATTTCCAATTTTCTACTTTATTTAATAACAAGCAGCTTGACCAGAGAACCCCAGTTAGGGGCATTCTGGATCCCGGATCTAGGTTAGATCCCCTCTCTGGGCAGATTATCTTTACATATTTTACTGTAGAAGGCAAATGGCAAGTGGAACTGTAGAACACGTGGCATGGCTTGTTTTGCCCACAGATATGATTAAATGCAATGAATCTGTCAGAAGAGCTCCGTGGTTTCAACACCAGCAATCTCTTGCCTCTTAGCCATAGCTTAATTTAATAAGGAACCTCAGAAAAGTTGACATTTTTTTCCTTGGGTACTAAAATATTCTTCTCTCTCCAAATGTGCTGCTACACCACAAATTTTGAGAAGTCAAATCAATTTCATAATATGGCATTTAAAAAAATCCTGTAGCTCTTCACCGCTGAGGATGGTGATCAATGAGGAGGCATATACACTCTCAATGGCTTATTTAGTGTTTAAAAACCTATATTGTAAGAATGTATTAGTGTCTAAATGTGACCTTTTTATTATTTTTTTTACTCTACTATAAAAATTCTTTCTTTCCTTTGAAAATGTACTGCTTTCATTCTAATAACTCAAGAAAAACCTTTCATCAATGACCATTTATTGCTGTTTCTTTTGGAGACAAAGCTTAATTTTTAAAACCAGCTATACTAGAGTATTAAACTCTTTCTCCAACATATGATGCCAAAGGCATCCACAATCCCATTTCTTGTCCGTTAGACCTAGTTAATGCACTTTTACATATCATTCATAAATAGGAACAAGTCATGGTCACAGACTCACTAAGAGCATCCGTTGCTCAAGAAAATCAAAGAATAAAAATCTCGTTTCGATTTTATTATTTCAGTCTATCAGTGGTGTATACAGGTAAGGTAACAGCCCAGCAACACTTTTCTATTTTATCCTTCACTGAAATTAACATGCATCTTGACCTAGAGATAAATAAAATCCATATAAACATAAAATCCATGTATACCCTGGTATCTCATTCTGGGCAAGTTAAACCCGCCACACTCCTCTGAGAAAAGATGCAACTTCAGGATAAGACCTACTGGCAAATGGTAGCTGTTTCTGGGGTTTCTCTGAAAGCAGCTACACAGAGCAGAGGGAAGAAGACACCGTGTTTTAATGGTAAATACTGCCCCTCACATTTGCAATTCCACAGCCTTTGTTGTCGAACACTGAGTACAAAAGGATTTAACACCCCCCTCCCAAAGCCAAATCACAGTCATTATGCTGCAAAACAGATGTTGCCCCAATGCAATGTGTAGGAAAGATAATGCAATTAACATTTACACCACTTACACCCCCCAAACAGGACTGCGACGCTCAGATGATCAGGGCACAGCACACAGCCCAACTGATTTCAACTCAGCCCTGCTTTGCATCCAAGAGAACTATGCAAACAGCTTCTTACATTTACTGTGTTTTCTTGACCACTCACCCAAGCTAAGCATTAACAATCTTTTCAAAAAACAGCAAATGTGGTCATTCAAAAAAGCCCTTCTAAAAGAACCCATCCTAATCATTTTCCCCAATCCTGAAACAATGTCCCAATCTTCCCTTAGAAATCTGCCCTTAAAACCACAGGCGACGGTCATTTTACTGTTAAAAAGGAGGGACGAGAGAGCATTTCTTTTACCTTGGCTCCGAGGCTGGTCAGAGAAGAGGCTTTCTCCTCTCCGAGCTGGTGTGTGCAGCGAGCTCCGAGCTCCGCGCAGCCCGCCCAGCCCAGCCCAGCCCAGCCCAGCTGTAGTAGGAGCTGCCCACCGAGCGGCCGCTGTGTGTGTGTAGCAGCGGCGCCTGCAGCCCAGGGACTAGTCCCCACCCAGCTTTGTCTTCAGTCATCGTTCTTTCTACAGGAAGCAGCACATCTCCCACTTCCTCCTCTTCTGGGTAGCTGTGAGCTGCTTTCTTCTTTCCCCCTCATTCCATTTCGGGGCTCACCAGGGGGTTCGCCTTTTCCTGGGCTCCTGACTCTATCTGACTGGAAGAATCCCCTTTCCCCTTTGTTCCAAGCCCCTTCGGTACTGCCTGCTCCTTGCTTCTCCTTCTCGGTCCCTCGCCCTCACCTCCACAACCGCCTCAGCAGCTGCCTCGCCTCGCTGGCGGCCCCCTGGCCAGCACACAGGCTGCTTTCTTAGTTTGAACTTGGCTTGTTTTCATTGTTGTTGCTGCTGCTGTGGCTGTTCTTTTGCGGGGGGTCAACAGCCCCAGCCCCTGGCCAGGTTCTGGCCCTGAGACCCAGCCCCAGCCTCACTGGCTCCTTCTGACTCACTGTAGTCCCTTTCAAATGAGCTAGCTGGATGCTTACAGCGTACTCTGCAGCATTTTCTCTGTGGCCAACACTCCAGACAGCTCATTTCTCCAAGGTCCCACTACCACTGAAGTCTTGCTTAACCCACATACTCAGAAAAGAATGGCCCCGATAAGTATTCTTGTGGGGCACAGAGCTAAACCAAGTCCTACAAAGCTACCTGTAGCCAAACAGTGAACACATATGGTGGAAAAGAAGGAGGTGATCCTAAATGCTATATAGTCCCAGCCCAGAAATAGAAGCCTCCCCCCACCCCACCCCCACACAGTGAAAGGACCAGCAGAGTCCTTATCTGTCACAGTAGGAGGTGGTGCAGCATTATGGATGAGGGTTGAGACTGCAGGAAGTCTCTTCACCCATCAGGATTTGAATACAAGCTGTCGTTACTGACTGCATGAACTTGGGCAAATTATTTAATTTCAACTTGCCTCGATTTCCTCATCTGCAAAATGGAAAAGATGATAGTCACACCCCACAACAGAAATCTGAGGATTCGATGAGATGGTACACAAAAACAATGTAAACATTCCTGAAACATAGGAAGTGTTCCATACATATCAGCTCTTGTTATTTTAGAGGAAGGTGAAGCTCAGAGAAGGCAAGTGACTTTGGCGCAGTCCCCAAACCAGGACCAGTATTTGGTTTCGGGATTCCCCACAGGTGCTTCGTTCATGACTACATCCTGATGCTCTTGGTGGCAATTTATTCAGCTTGCGAGTCATTCTCCCCCAACACCAACAAGGTGTTTTACAGAAGCTACAGATTAAACACAGGCTGGGGGCTGGGGAATCCTTCTAGTGTCCAGGTTGCACTGCTAAGAAATCCTTCCTCAGGAATTAGCGCCTGGAAAGTTAATTTTCCCGAGTGACAGAGTTAATTCTCCAACTCCACTTTTTAAATCCAGTCTTGCCTTAACTGTTCCAGCAAATCAAATAAGTGTTGGAAATCTAGGGCTGATGCAGGATAACTGGATCATCAGGTAAGTCACCAGGTAAGTCTTCCTAAGCCACCTTGGGGACTACAGCACACTAGCCAAGAAGGTACAGGATTCGAGTTCTATGAAATCTTCTGAGACACTCCCAGGACACCTTTACTTCCATTTGAAGGCCCATGAACAGAGTTTCTTTATTTCTTCCTGGAAGTCTTTTACCAAAAAGGACCCTGATATCAACTTACTAACATTAGAAAATTACAAATGGATTATTGTAAGATAAAAAACGAGGACCCACTTTTGAAACACCAGCAAAAAGAGCTGTTGTAGGGGCAGAGGATTGGACACAGATGCCCACAGCCTCCTGCAACCCGATGAAAACCAGACATGAATGACCTCAAATCAGGAATCTTGGAGCCAAGCATTACCAGAAGCTTCTATACAAAAGTGTAAATATATATGATGCCGAGTCTAAGAAAAATTATTAGAACAACTATTAATGGTTGGAAAGATTAGAGAAACAAACCTTTGGCTAATTTTAGACTAGTGGATTCTGGCATTAGCTGGATTCAAACAGGTCTTTTTCATTTCTTTTGCTCCAGTCTCTCTCTCCCCTTCTCACTCTCCTCTCAACCGTCAGAGTGGTTGGAACGTACCTCTGGTCTGCATAGGAAAATCTCTCTCTGACAATAATAACATCTCTGGGAAGTTGGCCACCTTCTGCTTGGGCCTTACAAACTCTCAGTAGGTTACCCTGGCCATTGCTGGGAAGTGAAAACTAGATTTTAAGATCTTTCTCTTCCTGTCATTAACCTCACTGCTTTCAAGTGGTCCCAATAGCCTCATTTTCTGGAGAGAAAAAACATGTGGGGGTGTAGATTGGCTAGGAGAGAAGATGAATCCAGTTCAGAGCTCTTAACACAAGTGTGGTAAGCATGCATACTGTCTGCAGAGTATTTATTTCTTAGGAGATACAATTACATCTCACCGTTAACAGTTCATACCATCAGTAACTAAATATGAACCTATCCTAGATACATTTTATCAATGCATAAAACAAAAGCCTGTAAAACCTAATATTCATCAATGGCCCTGTGTGTAGGCATTGGTACCTTGTATTTCTTACATCTGGTAGAAGAGACTGGTGGTAACAAAGAGAACATCATTTTGGCCTAATCTCTCCTGCATCACTGATCTTTTTAGCTGGATGTTTGTTGGAGTTTGTTTATAGGAACATTTCCCAAATTTTATATGTATACACACACATGCACACACACACACACACACATATATAGTTTCATCCAAAGCTTGTTCCCCTGTATATACCATCATTTCATTGAATGAGGAATATAAACCAGTTGCCCGTAGCAGAAATATAAGAATAGTATCAAATGTCCAGCCAGTGTAGCTCAGTGGTTGAGCATCGACCCATGCACCAAGAGGTCGCAGGTTCGATTCTTGGTCAGGGCACATGCCCAGGTTGTGAGCCCAATCCCCAGTGTGGGGCATGTAGGAGGAGGCCAATCGATGTTCTCTCTCATCGATGTTTCTATCTCTCTCTCCCTCTCACTTCCTCTCTCTCTAAAATCAATATAGGGAAAAAAATTTTTAAAGAGTACCAGACCCATTTATTTGTGTTACCCCATGTCTGATTTAAAGTTCCTCATCCTTTCATTCCCACCACCAACCTCTCTCTTTGACCACCCCTTTATTACTCTTCTCCTGTCTCTTACACACAATCCTTGGTTTTCCCTATATGACTGCAACACTTCCCCTCGCTCCAGCCTCTCTTCCTAGCCAGGACCATTAGAAGTACGTATCTGAAGTGAGGAGTTGAACATGTCACTCTGCCCTGCTAACATTTCTCAGTGCTTCCCCTCCCCATCACTCACAGGATATTTTAGTTCCTTTGCCAGGAATGCATACAAAGCATTCTGAAATGTCACCCAACTACACTCTATCCTTATTATTTAACCTGTTGCAACCCACGTCCACCCACCCTGCAGCCGCCTTCATGGCAGGTTTCTCATGGAGCCCCACCCTTTCTCCTCTACATCTTGCCATGTGCTCTTCCTTTTGCCCAAAATGCCCTTATTCCTTTTGGCAACCCCTCCTATCCTGGCAGACTGAGCTTCTCTCAGAAGCCTTCCCTGGCACACGAGTACAGCCGGTGCCCTGCGCTGTGGGCACGTGGTCCCTCATCTCTGTCTCCGTGTCTGCACTAACTGCACTGTTTTATTGAGCTGGTGTATGTCCACCTCACTCATTAGTATTGGGCCCCTTAAAGCTAGGGCCACAGTCTATTCATCTTTGCTTGTCACAGTCTAGGTCGTTAACAGATGTTTGTGTAATGAAAAGACATCATTGGTAGAAATTCCAAAACTGCTTTTGTATTCCTTCGGGTGACTAGGCAGGGAGCAAAAAAAGAAGTTTCTGATGTAAGTTGGTCATAGGATAAGAAACAATAGCCCCTCTGTTTTTGTTTTTGTTTTTTTCCAAATTGTCTGCAGAAAACCATGGTACATGTGTACCAAATTCTAAATATTCGCTATATAGGTAACCCTAAAGAATCTGGGACAACTCCTGGTTCCATTTCTGCAGCGAATTGCTTATAAAGAAGCACAGTCTGGCAATAAAAAAAGTAATTTTAAAAAATACATTTTAAAAAGAACTAGAAAAAATGGAAAGAAGGCCATTTTCACTTGCATTTCTGGGTGAACTTTAAAGAGATGAATTTTTAAGCCAGAACCACTTTTCACATTCCCTCCTGCGCACCCAGTGTCTGCTACCTCACAGCTGTCCCAGGGCTTCTCATATGTCAAATCCTCCAACTCTTCCTCTAATCTCTTTGAGATAGTAGTCCTCTCTCCCTCCTCCCCCTGGCCATGCCCAGCTAGTTCTTTACTATTTTGATTGACTTGCCTTCTCTGGCTAAAGCCTCCCTACTTTCTGTCCATGTCTCATTGCGGGCTCTGTCTATCCTTTCTCAGCCTACTCATCAGAAGGGAGTTGCAGACGGCACCAGCTATGTGTGGGCTGCGATGCACAGGGAAATGTAACAAGGGGAATAAGGTGAATTCATATACAAATCAATACTGTCCGCTTGTATATATTGATGGTATGTTTAATGGCTTGCTTAGTTGTGCCAAATAGTAATTAAGAACAAATGAATCATTGAGCGATTATTTTATCACAGAAAAACAGAACAAAACAGAATTCCAGCCATTTCTTGGATCAACTCAAGGGAATAGAAGTCTCTCTGAAGATTTCTACAAAAAGAGGTGTGATCATGATGTGATCTGTGTCACAGAATCATTCCCTCCCCTGAGACCTCTGAGCCAATCCCCAGCTCTGAGGAGCCAAGAAGACTGAATCTTATTTGGATTAAAGAGAGTCAGGGGGTAGGGTGAGCAGAACTCATCTTTCTTAAGAGAGAGGTGCTGACCCTCACAAATGAAAATGGTCAGTCTCTGTCTCAGAGCCCAGCATAAAAGCTAGTAGGTCAAGGGGTTTGCGGAGTGATGGC